GCTGCTGTCAGGTCAGTAACACAACAGACACACAACATGTTCTGTTGTGTGTTTGTGTTGTTTTGTGTGTCTGCAGCGGTCCTCGCTGTGTCGCCGTGTTCGACTACGAAGGCGAGGAGGAAGATGAGCTCACCTTCTCGCAGGGTGACATCATCGCCCTCCTGCAGCTGATTGGCCAGGAATGGGGGCGGGGCCAGATCCACGGGCGAATCGGAATCTTCCCCCTGAACTTCACTGAGGTGGTGGAGCCCCTCCCACAGCCGTCGCCGGGGGAAACCAAACCTGCGTCCACGGAGACGGCAGCGATGGAGAGCAGCGGTAAGCTGGAGGACGCTGTTAGCACCTGTTAGCATCTATTAGCATGTAGTAGCGTCTGTTAGCATATAGTAGCATCTGGTGGCATCTGCTAGAATACGGTAGCATCTGTTGGCATCTAGTTGCATCTATTAGCATATAGTTGCATCTGTTAGCATATAGTAGCCTCTGGTAGCATTTGATAGCATCTAGTTGCATCTGGTAGCATCTGTTAGCATCTAGTTGCATTTGTTAGCATCTAGTAGCATTTGTTAGCGTATATTTGCATCTGTTGGCATCTAGTAGCATCTGTTAACACCTAGTAGCATCTGTTAGCATATAGTTGCATTTAGTAGCATCTGTTAGCATATAGTTGCATCTAGTAGCATCTGTTAGCATCTAGTAACATCTAGTTGCATCTGGTAGCATCTTTTAGTGTCTAGTAGCATCTGTTAGCATCTAGTAGCATCTGTTAGCATCTAGCAGTGACTGTCCCACAAAAACAAGAAACTAAATGTAACACATGAGAAATAAACCATAGAGACACTACAATAGAAAAATTTGACAAAATAAACAAAATGAAAAACATGAGACACAATGACCACAATGAGACACAACTGTTAGAAAAGGACACAAAACGCCACAAAAAAGAGACACAACTGTCACACATAGACATGAATCTACATGAAACACATGAAACAGGAAACATGAGGCACAAAGCTACAGAGAGGAGACGAAAAAAACGAGCCAGAAGAACCAGAACAGGAGAAAATATCAAAAGTAGAAAACTGTAAAAAACTTTGGAGGCCGTTTTTAACTGAATTCCAGATTTCTTCTCGTCTTTGCTGTTTGAACTTTCAGCCTCATGCGTCAGTGTTAAAGCTGTTAACTGACACCTTTTATTCCTCATGTGTCCTCTGCAGCTCCGAACACCTCCGAGGCTCCTCAGTCTGAGGTGAGTGTTGGTCTAACTGACCCTGATCCTGACTGTCGGTCTGTAGATGAAGGAAGAAATGTACATGAAAGCTGATGTCCAGCTCAGATTTGGTCACGTGTTCAGTTCAAGGGCTTTCAGAAATTTGAAAAGCTGTTTCTGTTTTCACAGCTTCTGTCTCTTAGAGATTATTTGTATTTATTTCTAATTTAATTTCATAACCTTGATGTCAAAGCGCCGGTGAGCCTCCACAGTGTTGACTCCAGGGTTGCTGCTGTGTGTTCCTGGTGTGAGCAGGAGCAGCAGGAGCAGCAGGAGCAGCAGGAGCAGCAGGAGCAGCAGTGGGCCGTGGCCCTCTTCGACTTCCCCGGTCAGACTGCAGAGGATCTGTCCTTCCACAAGGGGGCGCTGATCCAGGTGACGGAGCAGGTGGATGCAGAGTGGTGCAGAGGACGCCTGGAGGGCAGGGAGGGTCTCTACCCGGCCGCCTTCACCCAGCGCTGCTCCGGTACGAGTCCCAGCAGCAACACCGGCGCCGGGCGTCACAGCCACCAGTCTAACCCTCCTCTTGTTGTGTGTCCAGCTCAGCCAATCACAGGCCAGCCGGCGGCGGGGAAAGCAGCCAGGGCTCTGTTTGACTTCACAGCCGAGAGCGAGGACGAGCTCACGCTGAAGGTCTGATCATGTGTCTGCTGCTCTTCATACACAAGTTCTTCAGTCATGTCAGAAAACCGTTTTCCCTTCAGACCAGTGTGACAGAGTGGCAGGTCTAGAAGAAGCTGTCCAACATGTCCCAGACACTGCCAGACATAAGCCAGACGTTGTCCTGAGTTTGTCCACAATGACTCAAAGTGTCCAGACCAGAAGGTCAGACTTACCAGGATGGGCCAGACTTCTCCTCAGGCACAGGTCTGACTTGAAGGACTCAACGTTGTCCAGTGACTCAGAACCTGTCAGAGATACCAAAACCTCGTCCAGAACACTGGTTGGTTCAACTCAGAGTAGACCACGTGTTCTGCCCTCCCTTACATCACCATCATAAAGCTCTCCAGATGTTCTAACAGAACAAACCTTTGTTCTGGTTCCTACATAGAACTGGAGTTAATCCAGTTGGTTCTGTGCGTTCATGTCTGGATCTAAAGTGAAAACAGACTGAAAGGTTTGATCAGTGGGACTGTTATTGCAGATGTTCCTGTAGATGTTCCTGTAGATGTTCCTGTAGATGTTCCTGTAGATGTCCCTGTAGATGTTCCTGTAGATGTTCCTGTAGATGTTCCTGTAGATGTTCCTGTAGATGTCCCTGTAGATGTTCCTGTAGATGT